TTTCTGCTTCAAGGCAAGGGTCCCATAGAGCTGCCTCATGGGGCTTGTGTCAATGCCCAACCAAAACCAGGGTGCTGTGGTCTCAGCAGCTGCTGCGTACGGGGAAGAGTTGCGCCACTTCCTGCGCGCAATCGCTGAGCACGGTCTAGCACAGGCAACCTCCTTCCTGTGCCAGGGCTGTTGACACTCTTCTGCTTCTCCTTTAAAAAAAAATGAACCAATGGTTCCAGGAAAGCCTCTTCCCCATCGCAGCACAGTGCAGAACATGATGTGGTGGCCTGGCTCTCTTCCTTCTCTGTGCGACATCTTTGCAGTGCTCTGGGTAGGATGGAGTGAAATATATGTACTAAAAATAGCTGGGGGTTTTTGAAAGTAAAACTTGATTGCGTTCTGTTTTATTGCTGGTGTTAGTTCCTGAAGGCCCGTCAGCTTCGGGGTTGGGAAGACGGGACTTTCATGATGAGATTTGTTCAAAGAACATAGTCAGGAAACAAAATGTCTGGAGTTTTTGTACCTTGTGTGCTTTGCCCTTGAACATCACTGGGCAGAAAGTAGACAAAGAAAGTCTCCATACTGGCATATTATTTTTTCTCAAAGCTTATAATTAAAGTCATCTAACTTTATTACAACTAATTGCAAAATTGAAATTGAAAAATATTAGTTGCAGTGTTTGTAATACACTGAAATTTGTCTTCTACAGCAAAGTCAGTCTCTGGCAGACAAACCAATAAAAGCTGTGAGTTTTTACTTGCCCTCAGTAAATATTATTTGCTTATCTTTGGGACGGGTTGTTTCTGCAGGTTACTTTGATTGGATGACTGAGGATAAAATACATGCAGCCTTTTAAAGATAAGCTGCCTGAATATATGCTAAATGAAAATAATTTAGAGAATGAAGGGTAGTTTGAGAATAAATAATACCTTTAAGTCTGTTCCTCTGTTTTCTGAACGTTTGAGTGATTTCCAAGAGTAAAAACCAAAGTTTCAATACGAAATATAACACACAGAGAAAGAATCTCAAATTAGTAGAAGATTTCACAGTAAAAGCACTAACAGATAATGCCCAAGTAGCTGCAGGGCACCTGTGATCTTTAGGAGAGCAGAGCTCTGTAATGGAATAATCTGGCTGAGAAGTTGCCCTAGGTTACAATAAAGAGGGGTGTTCCCTGTTTTAATCCTGCAGAAAAAAAATGTTTTGAAAAGTCGATATTAAATAATTGCATGGACTTTAATGGCAAGTTTGTGCCACTAACCTCATGGTGCCTTCCAAATAATGCACCCACAGGGAACGGATGGAGGGCTGGAGCTCCTCTGCACTGGAGACAGTCTGAGAGAATTGGGAGTGCTCAGTCTGGAGAAGAGAAGGCTCCAGGAAGACCTTAGAGGTCCTTCCAGTGCCTAAAGGGGCTCCAAGAGATCTGAAAAGGGATGTTGGACAAGGGCCTGGAGGCACAAGACAAGGGGGAATGGCTTCCCACTGCCAGAGGGCAGGCTTAGGTGGCATATTGGGAATAATTTGTTCCCTGGGAGGGTGGTGAAGCCCTGGCACAGGGTGCCCAGAGAAGCTGTGGTTGCCCCTGGATGCCTGGAAGTGTCCAAGGGCAGGCTGAATAGGGCTGGGAGAAACCTTGACTTGTTAAAAATGTCCCTGCCCATGGCAGGGGATTGGAACGAGATGATCTTGAAGTTCCCTCTCAATCCAAACCCTTCTGTGATCTATGATTATAATGCTCAGGAACAAGTGTGAGAGTGGTATGCAAAGAAAGGGTCATGTTCTCAGCACTGTGTTTCCTGTAGTACAGACTCCCAGGATGCCCTGTTGGGGCTGATGATAACAGCTCTGCATTTATAAGAAACAGTGGTTTAAAAAACCATAAAAGTATCAACCATTGCATTTTATGCTGATTTCTGTGATTTTGATCTGCAGCTGTCTGAAAAAGAAGAACCAGCATACAGAAACTGTGTGCTAAACCTAGTGTTTTCAATCTTATTGCTCCAGCTTTGCCCACGTTGACCTGCATTTTGGTAGTATTTTCAATAACTGCACTTTTTTTTTTTTCACAATACCCATGGTCACATAAAGATTTACCTTTTGACATTTGAGGCTGGACTTGACTCACACTGACTCCTTATCCCCACCATCCTCAGAGGTGAAACTTCTGCACCAACCTCTGTAAGCAGAAAGATATTTTTTTAGGCTCATAGACTCATTTAGGCTGGAAAAGACCTCTAAGATCATTTTGATCCTTGCAGCAGATCTACTATCAATGCTGGATCAGACTGCTCCAGACTGGCTCCATCCCAAGCCAAGGGTTCCCATGGGACATTTGGATCAAATCCATCTCTTTGCATTCAGTACCTCCACCTTGAGGTTGATGGGTTTCTGGTTTAGGGTTCCCCACACCCAAATTTTGATGGTAACATTTGCTCTTGCTTTGTCCAGGCACAACAGCCTGCAGCAGAACTGGTGAATCTGACTTTTTCTACCAAGGCAACCAAGAGCTCCAATGAGGGCAACCAGGTGTGGTCTAACCCCAGAGGTTAAACTGGCACAAACACCTCAAAATCCCTCCAAAATTTCATTGTTATGGGATCTGCCTCTTATCAGCCAGTCTGGATTTCAAATTCATCTCCTGTAAACCAGTTTTGCTGGTCTGGTTTCCTTGCTTGTGACAGCAGATGCTTTTGCTTCTGTTTCTCAAGAATGAAACAACCTCTCCTTAGACCCATAGCTGGGCTGTGGGTACTGCTGCCCAGCACTTCCCCAACCTCATCAGCTGCCTTCTCTGCCCCAGAAAATATCCCTCACTGAGAGCTGAGTCCTGGCAGTCAGCCCCTGGTGGGAAGGTTGTGTTCTAGGGAAGTGCCTTCGTTGTCCAAGAGCTGGCTGAGGTGAGATCTGAGCTGGCTACATGCAGGTTTCTGCTTTTCCCTGATAGGTTCCTGTCTGGTTTAGTTTGAAGAAAATCTTGGCTCATCACTGAAGCATTTGCCTATTCTTACGGCTGATTTTCTCATCCTGTTCCAAGTCACCCCTGCAAACCCATCCACCCTCCATGTTCCCATTCATCACTCTCCTGCTTGGGAAATGAGATGCTGCCCATGTACAACACCTTCAGAAACACATCAGTGCAGAATCCCACCAAACAAAGGAAATTCTGAGTTTGCTTACCACATTTTGTGACTCACCACATCTTGTTGACCGAGTGCTAGAAACACCCATCTAAAATTTCCTCAGATGCTTGTTGTGGACAGAAGTGTATTTTTACCATAATCTTGTTCTCTGGATCTTTCTGTGTGAAAAGGAGCATAAAATTGGGCATCCATAGCATCCAGATTCAGGATTTTCTCACACATCCCATTGGCAATGGTCATGTCCCATGAAATGGTATCTGCAGCAGAAAACTAAGCCACAAATGAAGCATCACGGGTCCCCTCTGAGGTCACCTGTTTGAGATGGAAGAGCAGTGTTGCAGACTAAGGCTGGATCACAAGGGGAGCCCACAGAAGCCCTAAGGCCCAGAGAAGGACTTTTGACTTGCTTCATTGCATCCGTGAGCCAGCTCTTAGTCCAGCAGGAGGTCTGACTCAGAGCAAGTCACCTGCACAAAAAACTTTTGACTTCACTTCTCAAGAACCAAATTTGCATCTAGTCAGTGGCCAGTTTAGCATGAGCTCATTTTCAAACCAGGTGATCTTGTTGTGCTATCTGCTCTTTTGGGCTTGAGTAAGGCTTAAAACACACAGCTAACCCTGCCAAGAGGTAAGAAAAATAATCTCTGTTCCTTATCCTCTGTTGTGTTCTTCAATCACATAAAACATCTTGGTCTTAGAATACTCAGACTGAATTGCATGAAGTGCATCCTTCCCTCCTTCCTTGCAATTCTCATTATTTGTTGTGTTCTCAAGAAAACATCCCTCCAGACAGGTTACAAAACTCCCCTGAAATTCCTGCTGGATTGACACATCAAGCCCATGAAAATGAATGAGGAAAGGCTGCTTACTTTGAAGGTCTGTCCAGAAGGAAAGGGCTTTGGAAATGGATGGCTTTTCTATTTTTTTTTGTTATGCTTTGGCTAAATAATGTGATACGGACATCATGGATTTAGAGATGGCAACATAAAGTGGGACTCAGCTGATATAATTTTGGAGGTGTAAGTCAGAGCTTGGCCTTCTGTGAATCCTCATGGTCATCAGAGAGGAAGAAACACTTTTAGAGTGTAATTCCCTTCATCTTCCAGATGCAAGCTGTGCCCTGGAAACGTGGATATTCCTCTTGTATTGACTCTACAGGGAGTGCTGAGAACCAGCCCTTAAACAGGGTGAATTCTGCTTAGCCAAAACCAGAGCTCCTGGGACTACAAGTAATTTAGCTGGGGTGAGCAAGGAGTGAGTTCCTACAGCTGTTTGTTTGTGTTAGACTATCCTCAAGGGTCAGTTTCTTGTGAACTCATTAAAATGAGGACATGTTCTTAATTAGGCCAGGATTTGAGTCTGCCACCTCCTACAACACGACATTCTCACATCTTTTCTGGCTGGAGGCAGTGAGCTCTGAGTGACACCTTCAGAGGTGAAGGGAAGATCAGCATTGCCCACTGCACACAGCTGGGCCCCCCTTCTCTGCCACATCCAGGGGATGCCAAGCCCAGCAGAGATGACCAAAGGCACTGAGCACAAGGGCTGCTCTTCCTCATGAGCAACAAGGCTCTTCCTCTGAAGCCTGGTCTGACATATTTCCTCTTGCAATCAACAACCCTTGTCCAATCAACAACCTCATTTCCACGTGGAGTCAGCCAGCAGTCAAACTGGAAATCATGTTGACGTAACTGCTAATTACCCTCAGCATAACTAATGTGCCGTAGCAAAGCTTGTATTTATTTAAGTGTGGGGATGGCTAGCAGAGGAATCTAACTGGTGCAGATGTTGTTGAAAAAGATCAGTCTCTCCTTAGGGGAAGAGATGAGTGGCTGGGGTCTCATCTAGTTGCTGTCTTTTCCCCAGAAGAGTCTGACCCAGGATTCTGGAAGTGTGTCCTCCTCCTGGCTCTCTGAGGTATGTGATGTGTTTTTTGTGACTTTGGGCTATAGAAAGACTTAAAAGTACAGCTCTCAGGACCAGAGAATTTGGCCTGTGTTGCCATAATTTTCCAGGCAATATCTGAGTGTGGCAGGCCAGGGTGGGGTGGAATGGGAGAAGCTGGGAGATATATCTACCATAGGATCAAAGAAATGCTGTTTGGCACCATCAGCCGCAGGACTCTAATTCACCTGTGTTTTCATGAGGCTGAGCTTTGAGTCACCTCTACAATTCATCATTTGTCATTTCCCAACAACCTGTTCCAGTGCTGTAGTAGATGCCTAGAGGCAATTTTTATCCTGCTGTGCAACCTCCCAAACCAGTCTGTGGGTGCTGCCCTTTGTTACAGCTCCTGACACTGCCACAAAGAGCTCAGCTTTGGTGTTCTTGACCTTTTGAGTAGCTGTAGGCGACTGTTGGGCTGCCCTTCAGCCTCCCTTTGGCCAGACTCAACACGTCTGAATGCCTTTCACAAGGTGTGAATCCCTTTCTGAAGTTGTGTGCTCCATGCCTCAGACCACCTTGGTAGCATAACTGAGAGCAACTTCAAAGCAGCCAAATCTCCACAGCATTTGGGAGTCCACATACATGGTGAAATCCTAATAAACAAGCATCTTCCAGGAAGAAAAATCAAAGGAGGCTTTATAAGCAGGTTGTATTAAATAAAGGTATTTCATCCTCCTAAGAATGTATCTGTATGAAACCACAGCATGGATTAATTTCTATACATACCAAAATGTGATTGAAATTGAAGTGCAGTTATGACTGCTGCTATAGCTTATGAGGAAGTGTGTTGTTATCACTGCATGGTGGAAATAAAATTCCACAAATTCAGAATTCAGACTTCAGAGTTCCATTAATATGCTGGGACTTCCATTTTACCTGAGAAACAACTGCAGAGTGTGGGAGAACAGAAGGGAAGGGTAACCCAGGTTCTGTTAATAGATCCCATGGGGTGGATTAGAATGAAACAACATTGAATGACCAGTGTTTTTAAGAATATGTATGTAGAAGGGTTTATTTTAGAACAATTAGTTTGCAATGGAAAGGAGGTATGTAGTAATTTTAGTTAGTATTGTCTTTATTAATATCCATACTATATATCCATATTATATATATATATATCTATATATATCTATCTATATATATATATATATCTCCATTTTTTTAAAAAATATGTATCTGTATATATCCATTAAAGGAAATATATAAGGGAAAAAAAAGAAAGAAAGGATAAGAGTAGAAAGACTTCACCTCCCATGGATCCAGGGACAAGATTTTATTGTTGCTATTTTGATGTCTTTTGGTTGAAATGATGGTCATAGTCTTCATCCATTGGCTGTGGGGGGAAAAGCCCCCAAACAAAAAGTCCAGCGAGTTAAAATATGCTCAGGCTGTGTGGGAATGCCCAGCTAGCTCACCTGGCAGGGGGGGAGCTTTCAGTTCTTTGGTGGAAGGCCTCAGGAATGAGTCTGGGGACACTTCAGGGGGTCTTTGATGGTTTATCACCTCTTCTCAGCTGGCTCTCACATCAGGGAAGTTGAGGCTGTTTTAGCCCATCAGAAGGGATGAAAACCCTCAGTTGTGAATGTGACCTTCTCCAGGAGTGAGGGGTGGGAGTTCTACACTGAGCCAGTTGTGTAAGGGAGGACAATTGCCATGATAAAAACACCATCCTACCTCCTCAGGGTCTCCTTCTTGTCATCCTTCTCCCTTATCTGGCTGAAAACCTGGCTTTGTAGCTTCATTACCTCTGTTTTATGCAGTTCAGAGGTTTTTCCACTTGAGGATCTGAAAGTGAAAATAATAAACCGATTTTTGGTCTCCAAAGCCAAAAGAAACTGAAAGAGTGAGTGTAACCACAGGGAGCCTGACAGCTCTCAGCTGTGAGTGATAGTAGCAGGGTGGTGCTTGACTGGTGGCAAGGAGGTGACCCTTCTGTCACCTCAGTGTTTCCTGCTCTGCGTGCACAGGGTCAGTAGCACCTAGTCTGGTGGAGTTAATGTAACCAAAGATATCCAAATCCCACACCAACTTTTTCAGCTGAACTGTAGAGTATTAAAAAACCTGTTGATCCTTGTGAGGAAAAAAATGCATTTAATAAATTTATCTCCAAAATTCAAGGATAGCCATGAGCCAGCATTTGGAGTGTTGCATAGAAAGGCTTGAGGAAAAAAAAAAATTGTTTAAAATGGATAATGTACATCTGCTATCCTTGGGGGGGGGATTCAGTGTGACCCTTCTGTCACCTCAGTGTTTCCTGCTCTGCGTGCACAGGGTCAGTAGCACCTAGTCTGGTGGAGTTAATGTAACCAAAGATATCCAAATCCCACACCAACTTTTTCAGCTGAACTGTAGAGTATTAAAAAACCTGTTGATCCTTGTGAGGAAAAAAATGCATTGAATAAATTTATCTCCAAAATTCAAGGCTGGCCATGAGCCAGCATTTGAAGTGTTGCATAGAAAGGCTTGAGGAAAAAAAAAATTGTTTAAAATGGATAATGTGCATCCGCTGTCTTTGGGGGGGGTTCAGTAACATAGTCAATCTTTTATATCCTTACCTTTTCCTTGCACTTTTCTCCATACAATTGATACTTTTCATATGGCTCTGGACAAGGGGTCTATTTTTCACACAGAAAATGTTCCTTGAGGGAGAGCTGCACAGCAGAGGTGCTTTAGGGTCACTTCTGGGACACAGGGGAAGAACAGAAGAAGCAGCTGTTGCCTTTTTTGTGAACCTCTAATCTTTGGTCTGACTGGGTCAGTTTTACTCATCACTTGAAGCTCACTCTGGCATTTGGAGTGTTGCATAGAAAGGCTTGAGGAAAAAAAAAAATTGTTTAAAATGGATAATGTACATCTGCTATCCTTGGGGGGGGGATTCAGTAACACAGTCAATATTTTATATCCTTACCTTTTCCTTGCACTTTTCTCCATACAATTGATACTTTTCATATGGCTCTGGACAAGGGGTCTATTTTTCACACAGAAAATGTTTCTTGAGGGAGAGCTGCACAGCAGAGATGCTTTAGGGTCACTTCTGGGACACAGGGGAAGAACAGAAGAAGCAGCTGTTGCCTTTTTTGTGAACTTCTAATCTTTGGTCTGACTGGGTCAGTGTTTTACCCATCACTTGAAGCTCACTCTCCTTTGTACACCTGGCAAAGGTGAACATGGGAATGCCTCATCCCTGGAAGTGTTCAAGACCAGGATGGACTGGACTTTGAGCAGCCTGGTCCAGTGGAAGGTGTCAAAACACGGTGTTTGGAAATGAATGATCCCTAAGGTCCCACCCAATTTGAGCAGCCTGGTCCAGTGGAAGGTGTCAAAACACGGGGTTTGGAAATGAATGATCCCTAAGGTCCCTGCCAGTCCAAACCATTCCATGATTCTTTCTGTGATTCTGTGAACATACTTGGCGTGTAAGGTGAGACATGCATGTATCACCATCCTGGCTGATGTAAAGAGTGTGCTGGCCTTGTGGTTTCTACACTCCCTCTCTGTCCTCACTCACAGAATTTGCCTGTGGCCATGGCATCTTTGCTGCCCTTGAAGGAGAACAGTCCAGAACAGGACAAATCTCCTCAATTCACCTGTCCAAGCAACATTCCTGTTTCTTTCATTTTGTTTTCTCATGTGCATTTGGCATCTGCTGCTGTGATTTACTTTGCCCTGGAGACCTGCAGCCCTTCCTGAGTACTGAGTATCTCTTCAGCTATTCACTTCCTTTATCCACAGGGACTGAAAACTCAGGAGAAGGCTTTGATGACATCTCATTCTTTTCAGTAGAATCACAGCATCATTTAGGTTGAAAAAAATGTCCAAATCGTTAAGTCACAGCTTTGATCAATCACCACCTTGTCACACAGACCATGGCACTGAGTGCCACGTCCAGTCATTAAAGTAGAAATAGCACTGCCCTCTGGTTAAAAACCCACTTTTTCCACTACTGCAGTCATAATAGCTGTTTCTATTTCCCTGCATTTGCTCAGCTACTTCCCAGCTTGCCCTGCTTTTACCATGAGGTTGGACTGCTACATTTAGCATCTGATAGAAAGAAAATTGAAGGAGAAGTCAGGAGAACATCCACTGGGAGAAGCCAGATCTGGACTTCAAAACAATTTCCTTAAAAAGTGTTGTAAATCCTGTTTGTTTTTTGGTTTGTTGTTTTTTTTTTTCACCATGATATGAAAAACTTACCAAAAGTACTTCATGTAAGAATCTCTGATCTCACAACTGTAAGAAGATTGGAGGATCCAACAGAATTTTTTACAAGTAGAAGAAATGGAGGCTTTTCTTACGGAACAGACCACAGGGCAGTTGGATCATTGGGCAGAAGGGCTCACTGAACATTTCTCATCCAGAAAGTGCACACCTCAGAGCAACAAGTAGGCAGTGCCTCCACTAACTGAAAGACAGAGAAGATCCAGTAAATAGCCACTGGAGCAGAGATTTTTATAAAAAAAACAGTGAAATGCAAAACCATGAGCTCACAGACCTCATGTCAAATCTCAATTTGAGAGATTCGTTACTTCATAACCATATCTGATTATAACAACCAACACGTTATTACTGTATTCCTGGAGTTTTGGAAGTGGAGGAAAATGAATCTAGTTTAGTTGTCAGTGAATGAGCAGTGGGAATAAACTGCTCCTCTGCCAGCTCTGTCCCACATGCACAGACCATTATCAGCTCTCCATGCTGAGTGTGTCTCTGCATTTGCCTTCCAGGGGAGCAAGAGCCCTTCACTGAAATCCTCCCACCATGCTGGGGCTGCTGCTGCTGCAGGTGTTGGCCACCTGCCTCTGGCAGGGACACAGCGAGGTGGTGAAGTCATTTGCAAGTTGTCCTCTTGCAAGGACAATCTTCTATGCAGGGATTCCTCCAAATAATGTCCTGAATCCAAAGAACCCAGCCTGGATCTGCCAGCGTTTGAGCAACTCATATCACTATGCCACCCTGTATGACAGAGACAGGAGAATTCCAGTGTACTCTGCTTACATCTACCAGCCTGGACCGGGCAAAAGACCTCAAACATGGCTGGCTGAGCCTCAGGTGAGTGTCTCTCTTGCAGCACATCACCCTCCGGTCATTATAAGATGAACTGCAGCATTCAACCCAACTTTTCTATTTCCTCCCACTTCCCTACACACGTTCAAGTGGACACACTGAACAGGATTCTTGTAATTGAACTTCAAACTCCTTCACCACATGGTTCCTCTGATGCATCTGAGACATCAGCAGGAGCATGAGATGAATCACATCCCAAAGGTGCCTTCACCTGACAGGAACAGCAAATCAGATTCCTTTGCATGACATGACAAAGGCAAATGCTTCCCCTCCCTGGGCCCTGCTGTGCTGGGTGACCAAGTGATGGGGAAAAGGCATCTAGGAGAGGCTAAACTTGAGGCACCAACAGTCCTGCTGGCATCTGATCCCCCCTTGGCCCTGAGCTGTTCTGTATCCCTGGCAGAGCTTCTCTGCTCCCAGTGAAGAATCCAACAGCCTTTGTGAGTGGTGTTAGAGAAATGAGGAGAAACTCAGAAGGGGGTGAAATGGCCCAGGGACAAAGCCTCAGGGGAAAAGGCACTGGAGATGAGAGGGTCAGGTTAACTGTGGAGGGATTTCTGCAGTGACATTTCAGGCAGTGCAAAGTGAGGAGCATCAGTGTTGGTCCAGTCAGAAGGGTGTGATCTGCATCCTTGGGCAGTGACCCCTGAGCACCTTTGGCTCAGGCTTGGTCCAGAAGGATCCAGCAGACAGACAGAACTCCACAAGCTCTAGAGCCCTCACCAATGTCCTTCAGACAAACTTCAGCTGAACAGGACAGGCCAATTGCAGAACAGAAGAACAACAAATTCAGGACCTTTTTATGAGCAGAGTAGGAGGAGAGTTTTTGGTGAAACTGTGCAAGATCATATTGTCCAGTTCCAGAGGAAGGCTACATAAGCTTCCCTAAAGATGAACAACAAAGTGTTGAAGTTATGAAAAATAACCATTTGCATTTCTTACTCACATGATCATGAGCAATTTATCGATCTTGCACCACTGCAGCCTCCACATTAGGGAGGGATAAAGACTGCTGTCTTTTTGTAGAGTCATAGAATCATAGAGTGGTTTGTGTTGGAAGCAACCTTAAACATCATCTCAATCCAAACCCCCTGCATGGGACAGGCCACTTGCCATTAGACCAGCATGCTCCAAACCCATCACTGGCCTTATGTTCCTAGACCTTGGACATAGGATAATGTTCCTAGACCTTGGACATAGGATACCTGAAATATCTTTGATTTTGGTGATGTTCTCCAAAGGCATTTTTTGATTATTTAGTTATCACAGGAGTCTTTTGGAATTACAGGCTCCTCTCAGAAGCTGATGTCTTTTTAAAACTGCAGAAAATGCTCCCTTGCCAGATCAGCTCTAGCACACATTCTCAGCACTGCTGTAACAGATTCTATTCACACTGAGTTATTTCTACTTACTGAGCAAAAACATCAATCCTTGAATAAACTGCAGCCCTCCCAGGGAAACCTCAGCTCCAGGACTGATTTCCTGACACATCTCCCTCTGTATGGGATTACAGGAGGCAACCTCTGGTGTTCCAGAACTGGGGTACATCTGTAGCAAGCACACATAAAATCACAGAATCATAGAATCACACAATCACAGCGTGGTGTGAGGGGATGCAGGGAGAGCCCTGGGCAGATTTGGGCTGTGGAGACAGGAGGAAACAGAAGCAGATTTGGCAGGGAAGGTGCCTCACCAAAATCACCTTTGAATCCTAGGAATGGGAAATGCTCCTTGTCTTGTGCATCCATCCATGCTCCCTGCACAAGCTGCAGGCTAGATTACAAAGGTCACAAGTCAAACTGAGAGCAGTCACATTCTGAGCTGCTTGCTCTTTAATGCTCTTGCATTCATGCAGGAAGGACATGTGTATGATTTCTCTCAGATTCTTCCATTTTCCTGCACTGAGATGACAATAAATGGAATTTTGACCATCAGAGACTTTGGCTCCAGGAAAATCTGTTTCATTACATGCATCCTCAGTACTGACACCTTTTGCTCTTCTTACCCTGTCAAGCTAATCAACCCAACGTATTCCAATGATATGGATACAGAGACATCCATCAGTAATCGATACAAGATCACTCCACAGCAAATTGGCCAGAGTCAGGCTATCACCCAAGACTACAAAAACCTCCAGGGTTTGGACCGTGGTCACTTGAGCCCCAGTGGTCACCGAAGTGGCAACAACAGCAAGATGGCTACCTTCACCCTCACCAACATAGTGCCCCAGAACAGCACACTCAACAAGGGCCAGTGGAAAGACTACGAGAACCAAACGATGGCTCAGAGAACCCAGGGCTGTACAACAACCTATGTGATCACGGGTGCTGTGCCTGGGAACACCTACATCTCCAACAACAGGGTTAATGTACCCAGCCACATCTGGTCAGCTGCCTGCTGCCAGACCAACACCACCATGAGGACTTGGGCGGTCATTGCTGAAAACAGCAGGAACCAGGTCCAGAACCTCACACGGGCACAACTGGAGGCCACGCTGACCCAGCTCTATGGGAGGGGACAGGTTTCTCTGTTCCACAGCGCCTGTCCCCCCTAACAAACCTCATATCCTGGGTGGAAAAGGCTCATGAGCTTTTCCCACATGTCACAGAATCACAGAATGCTCTGTGTTTTATGGGGCTTCAAAGATCAACTTGTTCCATCCCTCTCCCTGTGCAGTGACACCTTCCACTACAACAGATTGCTCCAAGCCCCATCCAACCTGGCCTTGAACACTTCCAGGAATGGGACAGCCACAGCTTGTCTGCTCACCCTGTGACAGAGCCTCACCACCCCCTCAGTATAGAATTTCTCCCTAACATCTCATGTAACCCTGCCCTTTGTCAGTGTGAAACAATTCCCTCTTGTCCTGTCACTCCACGCCCTTGTTCAAAATCCCTCTCCAGATCTCTTGGTGAACTTCTAGGTAGTGAAAGAAGATCCAGCTTCTCCCCATAGCCTTTTCTTGTCAAGGCTTAACACCCTCAGCTGTCTCAGCCTGTCTCCAGAGCAGAGATGTTCCAGACCTTGAAAGATCTTCGTGGCCTCCACTGGACTCCACTCCAATATGTATTTTGTCCTTCTCATGTTGGGCACCAGAGCTGGACACAGCACTCCAGGTGCAAGGACAAGATTCTGGACAACCTGCTCTAGATGATCCTCCTTGACCAAGGGAATGGACTAGAAGATTTTGAATCATCCCTCCCACACTGAACCATTCAGTGATTATGTGATCCTGAGACATGCTCTTGTTTACTTGCTTTTGAAACTGCACCTTGAGAGCAGCAGCTGTGATATCAGACAGCCAGGATGAGGCATTAGATATAAAGGAAGATTTGAGCAGCCAAAGATAAATTTCTATGATGCACTGCCTGGATACCTTAATTCCCTGCCCCGCTTCTGAAGCTTTTCTGCAAAATTATAGGGAACTGATTTGGGGAAATGTGTTCAATATATTCAATGTATTAATCAAAAGATCATCACAGGACAGATCATTTAGTTCCTGAGTAGTTCACAATAAAAATTATTTGCTGCAGTGCTGGTTTGCAGGGTCATCTCATGTATAAACAACAAGTTCCTTCTTGCTGAAATTTCTACTACCAATAATGTCACAGTTCCCAGGACATCAGTGCAATTTCAGGCTGAAAGACATCTGCAGACACCTCTGCTGTACCTCAAGGGTTGCCTCTGCCTCTGACTCACCCACCTCTGCATAGTGGCTGGGGCTTGACATCACACTCATCCTCATCCCTGCTCATCCCATGCCCACTACTTCCACTTCCAGGCTCTGGAGCTAAGGGTGATTGGCCAACCCCAGGAATCCCACCTCCATAACCTCCTTGGGCTGTCCTGGGGACCTTTACCCCTGGCAGTACCCAGAAATGCCCTGTCCTCCACAGCAAGCTTGTGAAATACTTGGGAAGCCAAAAAGAAGAAGGAATCGGTTTCACAGAATTACTCAATGACAGATTTCAAGGCTGGAATAGACCTCCAAGACCATCCTGTCACACCATCCTCTCAGCACTACCACTGTAAACCTTAAACCACCAACCCATATCACCCAGTGCCAAATCCAAATGCCTCTGAAACACCTTCTGGGAGGTTGCCTCCAGCACCTCTCTGGGCAACCTCTTCCATTGTCTGACAACATGACAGTTGAAAGTGTTTTTTCTAACATCTAATATGAATTTTCCCTGTCTCATCTTAAAGCCTTTTCCTCTAGTCCTCTCACTACTGGCATGGAAGAAGACACCAATTTCAACCTCATTACAACCTCCTTTCAGGCAATTGGAGAGTGCCCTATGCCTGCTCTTCTTGAGACTAAAATCTAATCCTAACATCTAATCTAGCTCTGCCTTCTGTCAGTTTAAAGCTGCTCCCTGTTGTCCTGTCACTCCAAACCCTTCTCAAAAGTTCCTCTCCTTTTGAACCACTCTCAGGTACTGAAGGGGCTCTAAGGTCTTCCAGAGCCTTCTCAGCAGAAGGTTTTGCATGAATAAGGGCTCTTACAAAGCCTTTGCAATCAGACAAGGGAAAATACGCAGCCTGACCCTACTAATTGTGTTCTGACAGGCTGCAGAAGAGCAGACTGTGAACATCTGGGTGTACTCAGAGACAGGCCAGTCAGTCTAATGCCACAAGAGATGTTCTGCCAGGAACAGGAACACATGTAGGTCCCCATTCATGGGGAATGAGGAAATGAACAGATAAGTCACCAGACCCAATTATTTTCCTGACACGTGATGATGCAAGAACCTGGCAGAAATCCTGAGGAAATTGCAAATAGCAAATGTCACCCCACTTCAGGGTGGTCGTGAACAAATCTCCTTGAATAACAACAGAAAACCTTTCTTTTCAGTGAAATTCCCTGTTTATGACAACGGGCAGATTTATGACCAGGTATATATTGCACTGGGACTCCTGAGGGATTAGCCAAGGGTTTCTTCAGGGAGAAGAAGAAAGGAACTCTTTAGCTGCCTGTCCTGAGACTCTGCTTCAAGGTAAGCCCTTGCTCCTTTCTCACCATTTACTACAATATTTCAGGACTTTCCTGAGCTTTGGAATAAATATATATAGGCAAAGCCTAGGAGTTGCTGAGTTCCAACATCTCTTCTCCAAGGAGCAAGGAGAGTTTATGCATGCACTGAATATTGCAGCTCTTTAACTCTTTCTGTAAAGGAGGGCAAGGACAGAAGGAATGATTTGGGAAAGAATTTCAAGCCAAGCCACCTGGAAAATTAACATCAAACTGTTCAATAAGAAGGAGGGGTGAGTTTATTGAGCACCAAAACTCCACCCATGACCTTGCAAGAGGCCTCTGGACAAACACAGGTGGCCGAACTCCTGGGCAAACTCCCTCTAAACACTGTGGGAAATCTAACAACTTTGCCTACTTGGGCATTATATAGAAACAGCCAGTCTGAGACTGCAGCAGAGGCATTTGAGACTCCTCTGCCACTTTGGGGCTGTGAACAGAATCCTGTGCTGCTCCTTCTCACGGTAGGCTGGTTTCTGTATATCTGATATTAAGTTACACAAAGTTAGTTAAATATACTTTAAGCTTGTGGAGGGGGTCATACAAAAGGACTTTTCAGGAACTTCTCTACTTGATTTGGGGCAGTTATGGGCATGTTCTGCAGAGTACTGTAAAAAGTCACCACCACCCATGACCTTGCAAGAGGCCTCTGGACAAACACAGGTGGCCGAACTCCTGGGCAAACTCCCTCTAAACTGTGGGAAATCTAACAACTCTGCCCACTTGGGGATTATATAGAAACAGCCAGTCTGAGACTGCAGCAGAGGCATTTGAAACTCCTCTGCCATTTTGGGGCTGTGAACAGAATCCTGTGCTGCTCCTTCTCACGGTAGGCTGGTTTCTATATACCTGATATTAAGTTAGACAGTAAGTTAGTTAAATATATTTTAAGCTTGTGGAGGAGGTCATACAAAAGGACTTTTCAGGAACTTCTCTACTTGATTTGGGGCAGTTATGGGCATGTTCTGCAGAGTACTGTAAAAAGTCACCACTTCTTGTTCCTGTTCTTAGTTTCCAGCTTACTGATCCAGGTTGCTAAAGAGGAAAAGGACCAGATGTCTTGCATCAGAGCCAAGGGTATATGTAGCTGAATACCCCAATGTCAGCTGAGAGGCAGGAGCCCAGGTGGATCATTTGGGGTTCACTATTGGGTCTGAGTGGCAGAGCTGAGTGTCTGTGTGAACCTGGATGGGGCCAGAGACTTGTAGGAAGTGCAGCATTGCTGTTCTTTGCCTGCCTCATGCCCCATGAGATTAAAGCCCAGCTCAGCATGGCAGGGGGCTGAGCAGAGCCCGTGCACAGCTGCAGGTGTCTGCTGTGGGAAGGTGCTGAGAGCAGGAGGGAGTGAGAATGGCCTGAAACGGAGCCAGGGAAAATTTAAGCTGGATATCAGGAAGAGGTTTTTCATGCAGAGGGTGGTTGAGCCCTGAAAAAGGCTCCCCTGGGAAGTGGTCACATCACCACACCTGTCTGAGTACAAAATGTGCTTGTACAATACTGTCAGGCACATGGTGAGTTTTCTGGGTCTGTCCTGGGCAGGGCCAGAAGTTGGACCCGATGGTCCTGATGAGTCCATTCCAACTCAGCATCTTCTCTCATTCTATGAGATCATGTTTGGAAGTAGGGGCCTCCCGGCCCTGTTTTGTTGAAGGATTTTTTCTCCAGTGCCAGTGCAAAAGCTGAGCTCTGAGCTCAATTGAAATAGGCTGGAAAAGGTGACCTTGTCCCAGTGCCATACCTCAGTTCCATGATAATTTTGCCATGAGAGCTGTTTAGGCATTGGGTGGGTTTGGAACACCCCTCAGACAGACTATGCCCCCACCATTGCCTCCTCTGGGCATCTAAAACCTATTTTACATTCCATTTTCTCATGTGAAAAAGGGAGATTTGCTCAAAGCTTCAGTGTGTGTTCAGTCTGTTACTGCCACAGGAAAGCCAAAACCCTTCCCAGTCTGTTGGTGTCCTGTGGTAGGGACCCTTCACTGAGCAGTTCTCTGTGTTGGAGGGTTTGACTGACTTGTTCAGGATCACAGACCAACCAGAGAAAGCCCTCCTGGGTCTCCACACCTTTACCCACTGCCAGAAGCTGTCAGCGCCCCTGAAGGACTCACTTTAACTGTTTACAGAATAACACTATTAATAAAACTGTGACAGGTTAAGGTTTGAGGCTTGCCAGTGAAAGTATCTGACTGCAAAGATATATTCAAAGTGAGATATTAATTCAGAACAATATACTAAGAACCTTTAATCTTCAGCAAAAGCTGGCTTGGGATAATCATTCAGCATGCATAAAGTAGGATTCTTACCCAACAAGCATCTCTAAGGGAGAGAAGGCAGGTTCAGTCCATCAATTGAGCCCAGAAGTTACAATGTAGTCTTCCATCACTTCTTTCCATTTTTAATTCACTTTTATACTATTTTGTTACATTTAGGTGGTGTTTGCATGTAGTTATACATCTTTCTCAGTGAGGGCTTCTCAAGCGCTGGGGGTGGATATCTCAGTAAAGTACCTGCAGTAACCTTGGGATGGGGATGTGTGTCAGTCCAAGGAGAGGAATTTTGCCGTGGTTGCTGATTCAGCAGCAGGACATCTTCGTTTGTGTCCCATGGTTTTCAGTTGTCATGCAGATTATCAGATAGAAAATGCCACTGAGGTGTCTCCTCTGTAAGGGTTTTGAGAGAGCCTGTCCATGGCATCTCCACTCCACTCCCCCTGCTGTTTAGGCCCACCTTAGATTTAGTCCTCCTTGTGTGTGGGAGGCCAGGTATGCTGACTGTGTTTCATCCATGGAGGAGCAACTGTACTTTCTCCTGTAACCTGTTTACCACTATCCTTTTATCCCCAGTCATCTCCCTGCACAACCCTATAGCATTGAAGATTTTTCCATATCCAGGAGGACAGAAGTTACTCCATCTTGGTCTCTCACAGTCTCCTTCTCTGCATTTGCCTTCCAGAGTAGCAAGAGCCCTTCACTGAAATCCTCCCACCATGCTGGGGCTGCTGCTGCTGCAGGTGTTGGCCAGCTGCCTCTGGCTGGGACACAGCGAGGTAGTTAAGTCCTTTGAAACTTCATGTCCTCAGTTTTTTTTCCGGGAGATCCCCCCGAACGAAGCCCTGGAGCCGCAGAAACCAGCCTGGATCTGCCAGCGCTACAAGAACCAGTATTACTTTGCCACCCTGTATGACAGGAAGATGCGTATTCCTGTCTACTCAGCTTACATCTACCAGCCTGGACCGGGCAAAAGACCTAAAACATGGCTGGTTGAGCCTCAGGTGAGTGTCTCTCTTACAGCACATGACTCTCCAGTCATTAAAAGCAGTATTAAAATAACCATTTCTATTTTGTCCCAACCCACTACACGCATGCAAATGGACACACTGGACAGGATTATCCCCGTTTTACTTCAAACAGCTTCATCATATGATTCCTCTGATGCATCTGAGACATCAGCAGGAGCATGAGATGAATCACATCCCAAGGGTGCCCAGCTTTCTGCCTTCACCTGACAGGAACAGCAAATCAGATTCCTTTGCATGACATGACAAAGGCAAATGCTTCCCCTCCCTGGGCCCTGCTGTGCTGGGTGACCAAGTGATGGGAAAAGGCATCCAGGAGAGGCTAAACTTGAGGCACCAACAGTCCTGCTGGCATCTGATCCCCACTTGGCCCTGAGCTGTTCTGCATCCCTGGCAAAGCTTCTCTGCTGCCAGTGAAGAGTCAAACAGCCTTTGTGAGTGGTTTGAGAGAAGTGAAAGAAAACTCAGAATGGGGTGAGGTGGCCCAGGGACAAAGCCTGAGGGGAAAAGGCACTGGAGATGAGAGGGTCAGGTTAACTGTGGAGGGATTTCTGCAGTGACATTTCAGGCAAAGTGAGGAGCATCAGTGTTGGTCCAGTCAGAAGGGTGTGATCTCCATCCATGGGCAGTGACCCCTGAGTGCCTTTGGCTCAGGCTTGGTCCACATGGATCCAGCAGACAGACAGAACTCCAAAACCAACAGAGCTCTCCCAGATGTCTTTCAGTCAAACTTCAGAACTTTAGGAAAACAGGCCACGGAAATAATGGGCACAAAAAGAGGAAGTTCATGTCATTGCAAAGGACAGAGGGGCAGGATTGATTTAGGTGAAAAGGAACCACAGAAGAAACCCATATGCAGTGTTCCAAAGGAAAACAAAAAATAATGCACTAAATGTGAAATGAATTTCTGAAACAAAAAAATATTTGCAGTTTGATTGCACTTTGAGTTCCTCATAGGAACTCAAGCAACTAATCTGGTATTGTACCACACCAGGAACAGACAAAAACACAGATCTCGACACTCAGAGACTTCTGCTCTAGAGAAGTCTGTTCAATTATCCTCATCCCCAATAATAACACCTTTTTCTCTTTATTTCCTGTCAAGCTGATTGGCCCAGCTTATCCCAAAACTATGGAAAAAGAGTGGACACTCTTAAATCATTACAATGTCACCTTAGAGAAACTCAGCCAGAGCCAGGCTATCCTTCATGACTACAAGAACCTGACGGGTCTGAACCGGGGCCATTTGAACCCCAATGGCCACCACGATGACTACAGCAGCAGGACGGCTACCTTCACCCTCACCAACATCGTGCCCCAGGATGAGAAACTCAACGGTGGCGCCTGGAACAACTACGAGCAGCAAACGATGATCAGGAGGACCCAGGGCTGTAAAACCACCTATGTCATCGTGGGTGCTGTGCCTGGGAACAACTACATCGCCAAGGGGAGGGTTAATAAACCCAGCCACCTCTGGTCAGCTGCCTGCTGCGTGGTGGACAATAACTACATAAAGGCCTGGGCGGTCATCGCTGAGAACGACAAGAACGAGGTTGAGCTCCTCACACTGGGAGAGCTGGAGGACACGTTAACTGAGCTCTATGGGAGGGGACAGGTTTCCCTGTTTGACAGTGACTGTCCTCGAGAATAAGCCCCACATCCTGGGTGGAACAGGCGCAGGAGCTTTTGCCACATGTCATAGAATCACAGAATGGTCTGGGTTTGAAGGAATTTCAAAGACCATCCGTGTAGTCTCAGCTCCTGAGCCATGGACAGGGACATCTTCCACTATCCTTGGTGGCTTCAAGCCCCATCCTGTGGTAGTGAGTTTCTTTGTTATGAAATTGTGGTGTTATAAGTTCAAAATAGTTTCCTCCTGTTGTCCCCCATACATATTGGTTTGTCCCTGAGATACGTCCATCCATTCCCCTGTCCATCTACCTAAAGAGCTACCCCTTGTTCCAGAGTCTTCCCTGCCACTCAGGGAGACCCTGCCCTCCTCCCTTGTCCATCACAGAAACCCCACCTTTGTTTCCAGAATCTTCTGCATGCATCCTGGATCCCTCAAATACCTATTGGTCTCCTTGGCCTGCTCTCCTCCCCTGTTGTCTCCCATTGGATGTCATGATGTGTGCACTGCCTTGTGCCCCTCCCCGGGTGTCTCACCATTGGTCCAAGTTTGTATCCGCCCTATATTCCCTCCCCTGTACTTAAGATGCTGTTACGCCTTTGAGACGCTGTTATTTGTCTCTGGACTCTTTCAGATTAAATCCTCTTGAGAACTTGTATGAGTGATTCCTCTCTTTTCTTTCATTTTGGATTCCTCAACTCGGGATTCTAACAGCAGCTGCACAGAGCAGCTTTGCTGCCTCTGACAGCTAGGCAGCCCTGTTTTACTGCTACGCAGACCGGCCCAGGGGTGGACAAGGAGCAGCCACTCTTGGCACAGGCCAGGAGCTTGGGCTAGCTGTGGTCAGCCCTAAGGGGTCAGCCCATGTCACTGTCCAACCTGGCTTTGAACACTTCCAGGGATGGAGCAGCCACAACTTCTCTGGACAACCTATGCCAGGGCTTCACCACCCTCACGGTAAACAATTGCTTCTTAACATCTAATCTAACCCCACCTGCTTTCAGTTTAAAGCCATTACCTCTTGTCCTGTCATTCCATACCCGTGTCCAAAATCCCTCTCTCTTCTAAAACCATTTAGACACTGGAAGGAGTCCAAATTCTCCCAAGAGTCTTCTTTTCTCCAGGCTCCCTCACCCTCAGCTCTTTCATCCTCCCTCCAGAGCACATGTGCTCCAGCTCTTGGAGCATCTTTGTGGCCTCCTCTGGACTCCACTCCAGCAGCTTTGTCTCCTTTTCCCCTTGTAGATCCCAGAACTGGAGGCAGCGCTGCAGGTGAGGTCTCACCAGAACAGAATAGAGGGGGACAAATGGACTGTAGAAGGGAACAAGACAACTCAAGGCTCCCAAAGACCTTTGATTCATTTCCAGGAAGGTCTGAGAGAGCAGACTTCACATGATATCTATGTTCCATTAGGAAGTGAGAAACCTGTCTTCAGATCAGGAAAATTTATGTATAAAAGGATACCCAGTGCCACCTGCTTATAGAGTAGTTTAGGGACTAACATAACAATTTCCATGCCAAGTATGTAATTTACTAATAAACCTTGTGGAATTTTACATATCTCCTGCTTTTTGTTGTTCCTTTTTACCATGAACATTTAGGGATCTTGGGGTGTTGGGGGGTGTTCCCTTTGCCTTGAAAGTGGTTTTGTGGGCAGAATAGGAGCTTCAGGCAAAGATCAATAGAGAAACCTTCCTGTTGGGTCATGAGCTGCAGGAAGGACCTCCTGGATGGTAAACTCCTTCTCAGGGAGCTGTCTGGGTTCAGTTGGATCCAATCTTAGCCCCAGATTTTGTCAGTTGTTACCCAGAGGATTATATAAATGTAATCGAAACTTTATTCAACTTGTCCCATGGGTTTTGAAGATTGCGAACCATAGATGTTTACATAATTAGATATGATTTAAGATTATAATGATAAGGCAAAAATATGTTAATCAGAATTACTTAGTTCACAGTATGGAAGCTATAACTACTAGTATAATATTGTGCATTGTGAAGAGGTATTGAAGCAAATATATTAAAGCAGTTATATAAAAACCAGCAAAAACAATTAAATAGAGATCACCCATAACAATGACCATGATCAAATCTCATTGGCTCAGCTTTGAGAAGTGACCTTGAGAGACATCTCCACGCCAGGGAGGAATCTCCACACACACACTCTCCAGGAAGGCGTGTGCCTGGTGTGCAAGAGCTAAAGAGAGCAAAAGCCAGTCTCTACTTCACATCAACAACAATGTTCAGACACTTCCTGGGAAACAGGGCACAACTCCTCTAGAAAGCCAGCACTGAAAACTCACACACAGCCCTCCCTCCTCCTCTCTCCCTTGGCTTATATATCTGAGCTGAAATCATATGGAAAGAAATATCCCTTTGGCTAATTTCGGTCAACTGGCCTGGTTGTGTCCCCTCCCAGGATCTTGCCCACTCCCATCCCCTGTGATGGGGGAAGGAATGTCAAAGGGACAGTGCTGCTTTGCAGTGGCCAAAACACTGGTCTCTTATCAACACCCGTCCAGCTACCAGCACAGCACTGTAAGGGTTGTGACCTTTACCTCGGTCAGTCCCAACAAAGGCATTCACAATAAAGTTTACTTGCTGCAGTGCTGGATTGCAGTTTCACCTCATATGTAAATCACAAGTTGCTTCCCATTGAAATTTCCACCAGCAGTAAAGTAACAGTGCCCATCCTCACACAAGGTTGGGTGTCCAAACACAACCAGAGGATGCCATAACACCCGCACAAGTGTCATCATCACACTCCACATACTTCTCCAACAAATGAGGATGAACAAAGTGGGCCAGGGTGCCAGGAGCTCTTACAAGATATCCCCACAGACCCAGGAACAAGACTCCCAACTTTAATGTCACCACTCTTGATCATTTGGCCATGGGGGCCTTTGTATTTAACAGTTCAACAGGTTCAGTAAGTTAAAGATTACGTGGGATTGCCCCACTTTTCCCCTGGGAGGGGTTTTACACTGGTCATACAGCACTGTGGAGTTGGGGGGAACTTTGGGAGTCTTTGATCCTTTAAGGCCCCTTCTAATGATGTGACCACTGTTGGGCCCTGCTTTGTTCTGTCAGCTGGGCCTCGTAAGGAAGGAGGAATTTGCCCCACCTCCACCAGATCTGCTTCTTCTTGGCCTTTTCCCTCATTTTGGATAAACCCCACTTTGTTTAAGTCATCAGTCCCAGGTTAACAGAGGCAAAAGGAACCACAGGACCCAACCAGGTTGTTTGAACAAACTTTGGTCTAACCCACCTCTTCTGGATATTTCTGGTTGTAACAACCACTCATCATTCTATTATTCCTGGGCTTTTGGAAACAGAAAGAATTAAGTCCTGTTTAGTTTTGAGTGAATGAATGGTCATTGAATGGCAGAACATTCTGGGGTGGAAAGGTTCTTAATGACCAGCTACTTCCATGCTCTCCCATGGACAGGGACACCTTTCACTATCCCAGGTTTCTCCAAGCCTTGTGCAACCTGGCCATGGACACTTCCATGGATGGGGCAGTCTCAGCTTCTGTGAGCAACCTGTGCTGGGGCTTCACCACCCCCACAGTAACAAATGTCTTCCTAATATCCACTCTAAACCTACACTGCTTTCAAGCCCTTTCACCTTGTCTCAAGGTGCTTCAAGGGAAATAGAGGTCGGATACTAGGAAAAAGTTTTTCACTGAAAAAGTGATGAAGTTCTGGAATCATCTGCCTGGGGAGGTGGTGGAGTCACCATCCCTGCAAGTGTTTTAAAAAAAGACTGGATACAGCACTCGGTGTCATGGTTCAGTTAAGATGTTGGGGCATGGGTTGGACTCAATCATTTTGAGGGTCTCTTCCAAAAAAGTCATTCTGGGAATTCTGGGAATTCTGTCCTAAAGATGTGGTTTAAACCCAGCCAGCAGCCACACCCCATGCAGCCACTCCCTCACTTCCCAACCATCCGGACCAGAGAGTGAATTGGAAGGGGAAAAGCTGGAAAACTTGTGATGCAGACAGAGCCAGTCTAAAAGGGAAAACAAAAACTTTGCTCACAAGCAAAGGTGATCAAGGAATCCTTTCACCATTTCACATGGATAGGAAGCTGTTCAGCCACCTCCAGGAGAGCAGGCCCACATCCCACCTAACAGCTGCCTCTGAAGACAAAACCCACCACTCCAAATAACACCTCCTTTCTTCTCCTTCCCCTCCCTTTATATCCTCAGCAGGATGTTCCATGGTCTGCAATATCCCTCTGGTCAGTTGGGCTCACCTCTCCTGGCTGTGTCTCCTCCCAACCTCCTGAGTACCGCCAGCCTCCTTGCCAGCATGGCAGTAAACAAAGCAGAAAAGGCCTTGGCTCTGTGAAAGCTCTGCCCAGCAAAACCAGAAACATCTCTGTGCTATCAACTCTGTGTTCACAAGAACTCCAAAACACAGCCCCACACTTTCTACTGTCAAGAACATTAACTCTGAACGCAGCACAGCTATCAGCTCCAAGCCCTTACGCAAAATCTCTCTCCAGTCTCCTGTTGACTCCTACAGTACTGGCAGGTGCTCTGAGGTGTCCCCAGAGCCTTCTCCTTCCCAGGCTGCTGGGATCAAGCTGTTACACAGCCATGGCAATCAGGCAGGAGAGTATTTGTAGCCTGGCCATAGGAATGATGTTATGGGAGGCTGCAGAAGAGCAGACTGTGAATATCTGAGTGCACTCAGAGCCAGGCCAGTCCATCCCATGTCACCAGAGATGTTCTGTTGGGAACAGGAACACATGTAGGTGCTGGAGCAGCAGCAGCTGCAGCTGGTGGGATTGATGAAATGATCAAGGCAGCCACCAGACCCTGCTAGCTGAACCTGACATGCCATGCTTTGAGGCAGCAAAGTTGGGAGAAATTCTGGGGAAAATTTGAGAAACAGCTGTCAACACATTTCAGGGTGGGTGTGAAGAAACACCCTAACTAAAAATAGAAAACTTCTCTTTTCTGTGGAATTCACTGTTTACAAGAAAGGGCAACTTCATGACTGGGTATATAGTTAACTGATCCTGACATTCCATGCTGCAAGTCAGCAAATTTGGGAGAAATTCTGGGTAAACTGTGACAAACAACAGTCAGCACATTTCAGGGTGGGTGTGCACATACCTTCCGAATAAAAATAGAAAACCTCTCTATTCTGTGGAAGTCCTTGTTTATAAGAAGGGGCAAATTTATGCCTGGGTATATATTGCAGTGGCACTCCTGAGCATTCAAACACTCCTTTCTCCAGGGAGAAGACAGAAGGAACGGTTCAGCTGCCTCTTCTGAGATTCTGCATCAAGGTAAAGAACTCCAAAACACAGCCCCACACTTTCTACTGTCAAGAACATTAACTCTGAACGCAGCACAGCTATCAGCTCCAAGCCCTTACGCAAAATCTCTCTCCAGTCTCCTGTTGACTCCTACAGTACTGGCAGGTGCTCTGAGGTGTCCCCAGAGCCTTCTCCTTCCCAGGCTGCTGGGATCAAGCTGTTACACAGCCATGGCAATCAGGCAGGAGAGTATTTGTAGCCTGGCCATAGGAATGATGTTATGGGAGGCTGCAGAAGAGCAGACTGTGAATATCTGAGTGCACTCAGAGCCAGGCCAGTCCATCCCATGTCACCAGAGATGTTCTGTTGGGAACAGGAACACATGTAGGTGCTGGAGCAGCAGCAGCTGCAGCTGGTGGGATTGATGAAATGATCAAGGCAGCCACCAGACCCTGCTAGCTGAACCTGACATGCCATGCTTTGAGGCAGCAAAGTTGGGAGAAATTCTGGGGAAAATTTGAGAAACAGCTGTCAACACATTTCAGGGTGGGTGTGAAGAAACACCCTAACTAAAAATAGAAAACTTCTCTTTTCTGTGGAATTCACTGTTTACAAGAAAGGGCAACTTCATGACTGGGTATATAGTTAACTGATCCTGACATTCCATGCTGCAAGTCAGCAAATTTGGGAGAAATTCTGGGTAAACTGTGACAAACAACAGTCAGCACATTTCAGGGTGGGTGTGCACATACCTTCCGAATAAAAATAGAAAACCTCTCTATTCTGTGGAAGTCCTTGTTTATAAGAAGGGGCAAATTTATGCCTGGGTATATATTGCAGTGGCACTCCTGAGCATTCAAACACTTCTTTCTCCAGGGAGAAGACAGAAGGAACGGTTCAGCTGCCTCTTCTGAGATTCTGCATCAAGGTAAGCTTTTGGTCTCTCCTCACCATGGACTCCAATATTCAGAGTCTTTCCTGACTTTTTGAAAGAAATATATATACATAGACAAAACCTAGACTGGAGTTGCTGAAGTCCAAGGAGCAGAGCTTATGCGTGCACTGAATTTTGCAGGACTTCAGTCTTTTCTGTCAGTCAGGAGGGCAAAGACAGATGGAATGATTTGGGAAAGAAACACAAGTCAGCTCTCCTGAAAATTAACGTGAAACTGTTGAATAAGTAGAAAGGGGGAGATTATGGAGTACTAAAACTCCACCTGTGATCTTGCAAAAAAACTGAACAAACAGAGGTGTGGTCTGAACTCCTGGGAAAATTTACTCAAAGGGCTTCTTGGGAAATCTAACAACAGCCTCTTTCTGGAAAGCATATAAACCCAGAGAGTCTGAGACTGCAACAGAGGTATTGGAGACTCCTCTGCCACTCGAGGGGCTGCGAGCAGAATCCTGTGCCACTCCTTCTCACGGTAGGTTGTTTTCTATGTATCTGTTAAATTATATATTAAGTGAGTTGGATCTATTTCAATCTCATGGAGTAGGACACACAGAAGGAGTTTTCAGACCCTTCTCTGCTTGATTTGGGGCAGCTTTGGGCATGCTCTGCAGAGTACTGTAAAAAGGGCCTGCTTGTAGTTCCAGCTCATTGCTCACCACGTTCCTGGTCCAGGGATGAACAAGAGAAAAAGTACCAGATATCTTGGCTCAGAGCAGGGCTGAGTGCAGCTCAACATCCTGAATCCAGTGGAAATGGACAGATGAGGGTCAGGGAGGAGAAGAAGACAAGGGCAAATGTGCAAGGTGACTTGTCAAGCCTTCAGCAGTGCTGAGCTCAGCCCCTTCCCAGCCCAAGGTGGGCTTTGTGCTTTAGAGGCTGTGGCAGCTTTCTCTGCCAGGAACCCTTTTACCTGCCTGTCCCAGCTGCCATATTCCGAAGGCTGATGATATTAAATCACTGCATTGAGTGTCTGGCAATGCAAATGGAAGCATCCCTGCTCTTCCAAACCTGTGCTGCGTCTGAAAGGAAACAAAGTCCCTTGTTTGGTTACCAGCATCCCAGGGAGCTTTTCAGCAGTTTTGTCATAAAGGAATGACCTTACTGACTGCTGAAAATCATGTCACCACTGAGAAAGACAAAATAGGGCAGGTGGCTTTCCAGGAAATTCCTGCAATGGTGCCTTTGACTGTACAGGGAATTCCATCGGCAAAGCTGAAGATGGACATCAGCAGCAATCCCAAGCAACCGTGAGAAGAGCTGCCCCTCAGTGCTTGCATTGCAGCAGCCACTGTGCTGATAAGATAGAGATGTTATCTCTCATGCTTGTGGCTACTATTTGTGTGGGCCCTTCATTTGCTCTCTCCATGTGTCTGCAAGTTCAGACTCTGGGGTTGGATGACATGGAAATGCAAGGAGAGCAGCAGGACACCCATGGCCCAAAGTCAGCTGAGAGGCAGGAGCCCAGGTGGATAATTTGGGGTTCAGTATTGGGTCTGAGTGGAGATGGACACTCACCTGGGGCTCAACCATCCACCACTCTGGAGGTTTCTTGGCATCTCCAGGCTGGTATTTGTAAGCAGAGTACACTGGAATTCTCCTGTCTCTGTCATACAGGGTGGCATAGTGATACGAGTTCCTGAAGCGCTGACAGATCCAGGCTGGGTTCTTTGGATTCAGGGCATCATTTGGGGTTGTCCCTGAATAGAAAAACTGAGAACAGCTTGCAAAGGAGTTCACCACCTCGCTGTGTCCCAGCCAGAGGCAGCTGGCCAACACAGCGAGGTGGTGAACTCCTTTGCAAGCTGTTCTCAGTTTTTCTATTCAGGGACAACCCCAAATGATGCCCTGAATCCAAAGAACCCAGCCTGGATCTGTCAGCGCTTCAGGAACTCGTATCACTATGCCACCCTGTATGACAGAGACAGGAGAATTCCAGTGTACTCTGCTTACAAATACCAGCCTGGAGATGCCAAGAAACCTCCAGAGTGGTGGATGGTTGAGCCCCAGGTGAGTGTCCATCTTTACTCACATTCCCCTCCAGCCACTGAGAGATGAGCTGCAGCATTTAAATTACCTCATCTATTTCCTGATACACCACTACTCACATGTAAATTGACACACTGCATGGGGAATGTATGAGAAACCTGCTGAAAATCAATCTCCTGCACCACATGGTTCCTCTAATGCATCTGAGACATCAGCAGGAGCATGAGATGAATCACATCCCAAGGGTGCCCAGCTTTCTGCCTTCACCTGACAGGAACAGCAAATCAGATTCCTTTGCATGACATGACAAAGGCAAATGCTTCCCCTCCCTGGGCCCTGCTGTGCTGGGTGACCAAGTGATGGGGAAAAGACATCCAGGAGAGGCTAAACTTGAGGCACCAACAGTCCTGCTGGCATCTGATCCCCACTTGGCCCTGAGCTGTTCTGCATCCCTGGCAGAGCTTCTCTGCTCCCAGTGAAGAGTCAAACAGCCTTTGTGAGTGGTTTGAGAGATGTGAAAGAAAACTCAGAATGGGGTGAGGTGGCCCAGGGACAAAGCCTGAGGGGAAAAGGCACTGGAGATGAGAGGGTCAGGTTAACTGTGGAGGGATTTCTGCAGTGACATTTCAGGCAGTGCAAAGTGAGGAGCATCAGTGTTGGTCCAGTCAGAAGGGTGGGATCTCCATCCATGGGCAGTGACCACTGAGCAACTTTGGTTCAGGCTTGGTCCACAAGGATCCAGCAGACAGACAGAACTCCAGAAACAATAGAGCCCTCACCAATGTCCTTCAGACAAACTTGAGTAGAACAGGCCAGACCACTTGCAGAAGAGAAAAAGAGGCAATTGCTGTCATTGGTAAGGACAGACCATCAGGACAGCATTTGGGTAAAGGTGAGCTAGAGGAGGAAGCCACCTGCCTTACTCTCGAGGAAGGGTTTTCATTCCCTAAAAATTAACAAAAGTATTTTGAACTTAAGAATAATATAAACTTGTTATCTTATATATAGGAACTCGAGCAACTATTCTGGTCTTGCACAGCTGCAGCCTCCACATTCTCTATTTTTGGATATTTATGGAATCATTTGTGTTGGAAGGAACTTTAAAGACCATCTCAGTCCAACTCCCCTGCATGGGCCAGGCCACTTGCCATTAGACCAGCATGATCCAAGCCCTATCTAACCTGTCATATTCCTCCTGGACCTTTGATCCAAGCCACCCAAAATATCTTTGATTTTGTTAGCATTCTCCTGAGGCATTTCGGGTATTTATTTTCCCCAGGAGTCTTCTGGGATTACAGGCTCCTCTCACAAGCTGATCATTTGTAACTTCTTTTCGGTGATGCTGCAGAAAATTCTCCCTTCCCCAGATCTGCCCTGAGACACATTCCCAGCACTGCTGCAACAGATTCCATTTACATTGAGCTCTTTTTGCTTACTGAGCAAAACTATTCTTCCTTGAATGAACTAAAGCCCACCCAGGGAAACCTCAGCTCCAGGACTGATTTCCTGACACCTCTCCCTGTGCATGAGGTTACAGTCCTAGTGTTCCAGGACTGGGGTACACCTGCAGCAACCACACAAAATCACAGAATCACAGAATGACAGCGTGGTGTGAGGGGATGCAGGGAGAGCCCTGGGCAGATTTGGGCTGTGGAGACAGGAGGAAAGGGGAACAGGTTTTGCAAGGGAGGACTCTCACCACAATTACATTTCAATCCTCGGAGTGGGAAATGCTCCTTGTCTCATGCAACCATCCATGACCCCAGCACAGGCTGCAGGCTGGAACAAAAATGTCAGAAGTCAAAATCAGATTCTGAGCTACTTTCTCTTTCAAGCTCTTGCATTCACGCAGGAGGGGCATGCGTATGATTTCTCTCAGATTCATATGTTTTTTCTACACTGAGATGGCAAAAAATGAGATCTTGACAATCAGAGACTTCTGCTCCAGGGAAATCTCCGTTACACCCATTCCCCAATCTAACACCTCTTTCTTTTTCCCTGCCCAGCTCATAGATAAAAATAGTCTTCCAGACATGGAAAGGGAGTGGATCCTCATAGAACAAAAAAAGTTCACTTTAGACCAAATCAAACAGAGTCAGGCTGTCCTTAACGACTACAAAGGACTGAAGGATTTGGACCGTGGCCATTTGAGCCCCAGTGGCCATCAGTTCAGTAGAGAGAGCAAGATGGCTACCTTCACCCTCACCAACATAGTGCCCCAGGACAGCGGCCTCAACAATGGTAAGTGGAATGCCTATGAACATAAAACGATGTCCAAAAAGACCAAGGGCTGTACAACGACCTATGTGATCACGGGTGCTGTGCCTGGGAACACCTACGTATCCGACGAGAGGGTTAACAGACCCAGCCACATCTGGTCAGCTGCCTGCTGTCTGGTGGATGAAGAGCCCACGAAGGCTTGGGGGGCCATTGCTGAGAATGACAAGAACGAGGTGGAGGAGCTCAGCCTGGGGGAGCTGGAGGAGAGGTTGACGAATCTCTATAAGGGAGAGGTTACTCTGTTCAACAATGCCTGTCCTCGTAAATAAGACTCACATCCTCAGTGGAAGAGGCTCTGTGGCTTTTCCCACATGTCACAGAATCACAGAATGGGTTGTTTTTGATGGGATCTTAAAGCCTCGATGATCATCTCATACTGAACCTGCCTGCCATGGGCAGGGACGCCTTCCACTACACCAGGTTGTTCCAAGCCCTCCCCAGCCCAGCCTTGAACCCTTCCAGGGATGGGCCAGTCAAAACATCTCTCAGTAACTTTTACTTGTACCACAGCATGCTCACAGTAATTTACTTCTTTATAATATCCCATCCAACCCTGCCCTCCATCAGTGTGAAACCATTCCCTCTTGCCCTGCACTCTCAGCAGTCTTCTCCAGGCTGAACATCCCCAGCTCTCTCACCCTCTCTCCAGAGCAGACATGCTCCAGCCCTCACAGCACCTTCATGGCCTCCACTGGACTCCTCTCCAACAGCTTTGTATCCTTCTTGTGCTGTGGGCCCCAGAGCTGGAGGCAGCACTGCAGGTGGGGTCTCAGCAGAGCAGAGTAGCGGGGCACAAATGTCCTGTGCAGAGTCTGTGCTGCTTCCTTCTCTGCTGTGTTCCCAGCTCTGTCCCTCAGGGCACCTCCTCCTCTGCTCAAAGGCACAGAGACGTGGGCAGAGCCTCCAGCTGCTTTGCTTTGCTGCCCATCTCAGGAGAGAGCTCTCAGGAATGAGTCCTCTTTCCCACATGTCACAGAATCACAGAATCACAGAATGGGTTAGCTTTGATGGGACATAAAAGCCTTAAAAGTCATCTCATTCTCACCTCTCTTCCATGGGCTGGGATGCCTTCCACTCACCAGGTTGTTCCAAGACCTCCCCAGCCCAGACTTGAACCCTTCCAGGGATGGGCCAGTCAAAACATCTCTCAGTAACTTTTACTTGTACCACAGCATGCTCACAGTAATTTCCTTCTTTATAATATCC